GCACCACGAACATGAAAGGGCCGCGGCGGGCGCCCGTGCGCCGCCGACGGCTATACGCCGTCTCTCGGCCATAACTCTCTTTTCCACGGCAACAACAAAATAACTTAACATGATCCTTACCTTGAGGCAATTTAAAAGGTAATCACACGAACAAATGCAGTTACTACTGAGGGCAACAAGACTTGGCCCGAGGCCACCCGAGACATGCGCGATAGGCGCTAGCGTCGGCTCGGTCATTTTATCGACTATACTTCATTTTGCCTCGACAATTTGTGACTGACTGGTCATGAAATAATATAAACTGAACATTTCGACATCAATAGCTCAAGAGTTGCCGGGAAAAATCGAGAATTACTCGGTAATGATCTTACTTGGCATGATCGACCTATATGCACGATTTTACTTAAAAATTCTCGCACATGATCGAACAATAGACCTTATCATGACCTTAATAATATGATTATAGGCTGAAGAAGGAATTACCTTTCCGATCGGTCGACGGAATTGGAAAAATAAAAAGGCGTGATCCTTGCCTTTGCGCGTGCGCCGTGCGTAGGCTTAGCTTTGTCGTGCGTTTTTTATGAAAAACTTAAAGAAATTGTGTGACTTGGTTGCTGCTGAAATAGGCTAGTATATGTTGAAGATGATGTTCGGTTCTTAAGGGGAAAAGTGACGAAAATTTTTGGTTAAGTGCTCCTTATATACTTGTAGTCGATGGGGGAGGGATGATGTGTGCTTGGCGTGGCTTCTCCCCCCTCTTGCCACTTGCTAAGATCTCATGCACTTGATGATTGACTAAGCACCTTATTAGGCTTACAAGTGACTTAAATTGATTGGTGGAAACCTATTTCCTTTGGCTTAAGGAGGCTCACGGCATTAGCTTAAATTTTTGGGAAAATATGCCCAACACTTCACGGCTATTAAGGCTTAAGTGTGATTAATTATAATTAATCACCTATTTTATGTTTAATTACTTAATTAAACATAATGCTTAATTACCAAAATTATTTCGAACGTAAACGGTACGTCAGAAATAATTTTCGGTAATCTAGACTGAACATAATTAATTCCGAAAATAATAAATGTTAACATTATTATATCGGAACTAAAACGTAATTTATACCGATAAGATATCGGGATATTACAAAAACAATAAAAATTAATACAAAACGTAAACTAGAGCCCTCCCCAAACAGTATTTATGAAGAACACTCGTCATATATATCCTTAAACAATTATTTACGTGTCTAATAACATATATTTCACCAACTAATGAGAGATAGTATGTATGAGACGCATAGCTGCACACTCATCTGACCCTCAAGCCAGACACCCTGTTGACCTGTTCAGCCGGTTGTTGTTCTCTTTTTATATTCATGATCGGTGTTGTATGTTTTTAGGAAGTCAGGTTCTAAGACGGCAGGTCGCCGTCGGTACTAGTAAAGTAGAACATATTGGCGTTTTCTTCCTCACCATATGGTGCTTGTTTAGTGACTTTCTTATTGACTGTTTTCAGATTAAGTGCAATAGATTTTCTTCATAAAACTACAAGTCAAGGGATTGTTTGCAAACACTAAACAAAAAATGCAACATTTTTTTTTTTTTTTGTTGTGTATGTAACTAGTGACTAGTATCCAATCATTTCTGAAACAGCTAGGCATGGCAAGTGCTTTAGAAACAATAAGCGGGCAAGCCTTTGGGGCGAAGCAATACGAAAAGATAGGTATTCAAAATCAGACGGCCATTTTTTCTCTCATCATCATCTGCATCCCCATCTCCATTCTATGGACACACATGAGCAAAGTTCTGGTGTTGGTGGGGCAAGACCCTGAGATCTCTCGTGAGACCGGTAGGTTCATGACGTGGCTCATCCCGGCTCTGTTCGGGTACGCCACTTTGCAGCCCCTCATACGCTACTACCAAATGCAGAGCTTGGTTTTGCCTATGCTCCTCAGCTCAACTATCACCCTTTGCTTCCATATTCCTGTCTGTTGGGCTCTCGTTTTCAAATCAGGCTTGGGGAACCTTGGTGGAGCAGTCGCTGTCGGAATATCCATGTGGCTCAACGTCACCATTTTTGGCATTTATATGTTGTTCTCACCCACGTGCGCCAAAACACGCGCCCCCATCTCCATCAGGATGTTTCAAGGGATGGGGGAGTTTTTCAGATTTGCAGTTCCTTCTGCGGTTATGATTTGGTAATTTTTATATTTTCTTCTTCTTCTTCTTCTTCTCACCTTTTTGCAGTTTTAAATAATGTGTTGGGGGAGTTGTTTATTGTAGTCTCGAGTGGTGGTCGTTTGAGCTGGTTATATTGCTCTCGGGGATTTTACCAAATCCGCAGCTCGAGACCTCCGTGCTCTCTGTATGGTGCGTTTTCCGTACTGTTACATTACTTCAATTTTAATAAGCTATCAAGTATGTAATAATATTACTCTGCTGATTTTGGTGCATCACAGCCTGAATACAATTGCCACGCTTTATGCGATACCATATGGATTAAGTGCTGCAGCAAGGTACATGCTTGTTGCTTGTTTACGAGTCCACTGATTTTTTCGCTGCGTGTGCTTATATTTTCTTACAAAAACTGCTGTTTTTTTTTTAAATGTGTAGCACTAGAATCTCAAACGAGTTGGGAGCCGGTAGGCCAGAGGGAGCTCGTTTGTCAGTGATTGCGCTAATGCTTCTTGCTGCTATTGATGCAATAGTAGCAAGCGCAAGTCTCTTTGCCAGCCGACACGTTTTTGGCTACATTTTTAGCAATGAGGCGGAGGTCGTGGAATACGTGGCCAACTTGGCTCCTCTCATTTGCTTATCCGTCATAATGGACTCTATCCAAGGGCCCCTTTCAGGTTTCCACTCCTGCTTTTTTCGAAAATCAAAATAATTTTCTATGTTGAATTAAATAAACGAGATAACAAAATTACACAACTAAAAAACACAAGCTCTACTATATACTTGGAGCAAATTTTAGTGGGTAAGTCTCGATTCAAAGTGCATTTTTTTTTTTTATTTTTTTCATTTTTTTGGTCTTGACGTTCTCATAACTTGAGGATATCTTACAATTTAGTACAATTATGAGGAGCTAATTGCAATGAGTATAATAGTCGTATAATTGTGGTTGCGCAGGCGTTGCGAGGGGCTGCGGGTGGCAACATTTCGGGGCTTACGTTAATCTTTCAGCATTTTATCTTTTCGGTATTCCAATTGCGGGAGTTTTAGGTTTCTGGTTCAATTTTAGAGGAAAAGGTCTGTGGCTAGGGATAATCTGTGGCGCAACCTTGCAAACCATTATGCTCTCCATCATAACTGCATGCACAAACTGGGAAAAACAGGTTCGATTTCTCCTCATCCAGTTTACGCAACATATAACTGGAAAGTGTTACGGTCCCGTTACAAAACCATTCCATCATAATTTGTAACCATTAGATCATCATGTAACCGTCGGGGATAGTTGATCTAACGGTTACAAATCTCGAAAGAATAGTTCCGTAACGGGATCGTAACATCTCCCTATATAACTTATCTAAAAAATGCTCTTAGTGTATTATGTGCTCACATTTTTTTTCAATAAATATATATACTTCAAATACAATATAAACAAGCAAAAACTATTTCACAGTATATGTATTTTTTTTTTTATTTAAAAAGAATGCGGCTCGATTGTGTCATCATATAACCGCCTAATGGTAGTTTTCATGATTTTTTTTAATTCAAAACAATTATTAAAATAAATTAATTATTTCCTATCGTAGAATAATACTTTATGCAACATTACCTTTGTTTACACGTACTGAAGGAAAAAATGGATCGATTTGTAATTATTTTTGGAACATGCAGGCAACCAAGGCAAGAGAGAGGTTATTTGGGTTGGATTAAGCTTCATCCTCATACACGTATTGAAGGAAAAATTTCAAGCTATATTGTTTCTAATCATTATAATATTTTTTATTCATATATGCTATGTAAACTTGGGTTGGAAGTTATTCAACACATAGAGAATCTATGTAGACAACAACTTTTTTTTTTTTTTTTTTTTTTTTTTTTTTTTTT